TTTTGTCTTTATTTGGTTTTTCAAAATATTCTGCTCTCATTAGATTCCTGCAAAGTTGTTACTTCCGTCCGTCTCCGACCGTTTGGTCCTCTATTTTATTAAAAAAAAGATTTTTTGATTAAAAACTAAATAGCGTTGTGGCTCATGAAGCAACGTAATGAGTTAAATTTGATTAATGCTGATTAATTTTATGGTTCAGCGCGCCGCAAACTGTAAGACAATAGCGTGCTGTCTGATAATTGAGCGGGAAATTAATGGGCGGAGTTTTTTTATTATGAATATGCAATTTTTGCTGCTGGCATGACATTATTTTTAAAAAATGAACCACATAGCCACCGCTAATAAACAATTTCAAAAATGTTTACAAATTTCAATATACAAAAGAGGGAAGTGGTTGAACATAACTCAAATGTTTGTTTGGATCTTCAAACATCACAATTCAATTCACTAGCGTTTGAGTTGTAACAATATAATAGAAGCCAAAACAAAATATTTCACGCCAAGTATTTAATTAAACAGAGTAGGGTATCGGTATTATGCAAGATAGGTAGAACTTTCCGATTTGCTGTGTCGCATTTAAAACAACACCGCGCACCATGAACCATGCATCAAAAACACATTCTCTCGGTTGATAACGTGACTTCACATGTTGCAAATAACGACGATGTTTTTGATATAGGATTTTTAATACTGTTTGCGAAAATTGAAAATAACATGTTAAAAATTAATAATGCACAAACACAAGCAAACTCACTTAATCAAAGCGGATAGAAACGCTTGCACAGGTAATTGAGTTGAAACCTAGATCAAAAATTCAGAAATTCATTTGATTTCTATGGTGTGTTCAACTGTAATTTTTCCACTCAATTCAATAATCCAAATAATAATATTTTTTCTCTGTAAATTTATTTTTGAAGACTATACATTGAAATTATTTCCATTCAAGTTTCTATCAAGTAGATTTAAATAATTCTACTGCTTATATAAAATTAAGGCAGAAACTGTCGTAGGTACAATTGTTAAGAAATATCACTGCATTTTCAGCTTCGATCAGATTTAAGATAAGAATGAATAACAAAGTAGCTAAAAACTTTGTTTACTGTATAAATAAGTTACGAAATAGTGATAAAGATACGATATGAAATATAAATATTGAAAAGTTGAACCAAAAACTGTCCAAAGCTGAAAAAGCAGTGATATTTTTTTATAATATATATATAATATAATATATAATATTCTATAAATTCTACCGAATGTTTGGCGTTAATATGTTTGTAGTTCGTTTTTTCGATTTTTCTCACTAAAGTTTTTTGGCGAACGTTTAGTTTATTAAAATTTAAAATAAACTTATTTTTTGAATTCATGCTGCAAATAAGGCCATATTTCGATTCCGAATGAATCATCGTCAGTGCTCCTTGTTGTATATATAGGGAAATATTGACTTTGTCAAGATGAACTTTGACGTTGTAAAAATTAACTTTGGTGTTGTAAAATTGAACTTTGATGCGAATTGAACTATATATATATAATATATAATATATATATAATAACGCCAAACATTCGGTAGAATTTATAGAATATTGTAAAAATATATATATATATATATTTAGTAATACATTGTAAATTATAATTTAGTTCATTAATTAAGTTAACAAAATGTTTTATAATGTTCATTTCATTTCTATTAATTTAAAAATAACATTTTAAAATTAAAATAAATTAATGTAATATATTAAATAAAAATAGTTTAAAGTACCAAAATAAGCTCTAATTTAATTGATTTAAATGTTTTTATTAATGAGGTGAAAGTGAAAATTGTAAAGATCATATAATTAAAATTTCTAAAAAAATTTCAAAGGGTTATTTATTTTAAACAAATTTAAGTCGATTGTACCGAGCAGCATTATCATTAATTTATATTGTTATAACCGCGGGAATAATCGAATTGTACTACATTATTTATTATTTGATTTTGTCATCTTTGCTACATTTGTAATCTTTGGGTAGAAGATTGTAAAGAAGTCTAGGCGATACATTGGTACTGCGTTTTCAGGTTTACAGTCAGTTTTTTGTAGTTACTTAAATTAATTTATTGTTTCTATTACTGTTAGTATTCAAATAAACGTTTAACAAAGTTTGCGTTTAAAGTAGTTGTGTTCATCTATCGGAAATCTTGAACCTACGGATAAACGAGCTCTTGTCAATCGTTGGTAGCTACAACACTGGTGTTGAAAATATAGAGATCTTTGATGTTATAACATTGATGTTGGTAGTTACGAGCGTCTAAGGTTGCAACAATTTTTTTTGGGGGGGTCTTTATTATTGCAGCTCTGTCATACGCAGAACCACTTACAATGTTACAGATATATTATCTATATATCTTTTATTATGTTCTTCATATCTTCATCCATTGATTTGAAGCAGTCATCTTCGCCACAAAGGCTGTTTATCCTTTTCACACGACGTACACATGTATTTATGTGCACGCGCAAGCAACGCATCATATACGCTGAGTATATGATAGCCATTGAGGTGTTTGACTCAGCGAGCATTTGAACCACTGAGCCATCTCGCCGGCCAACTTACGTTGTCTACCAATTTACCAGCCTCGAAAGGATAGACGGCTGGGTTGGCTACCCGGATGAACCTGTAGAAACTACAGGATTCGAACCCAGGTAGTGTAGGAGTGGTAGACGGACACGCTAATCACTTGGCCACAAGACATTAGTTTATCAATATTTAAAATCTTGTATAACTGTGTGGGGTAAAAATATTAAGTCCCAAATAATCATACTTGATAAATTCTTTTTAGAGTACCTTTTCACTCTCGTGTCTTATATTCTTTTGAAATGTCAAAATTTTATCAATTCATAACATTTTCAGAATTTTGATATATTTATATAATTTGATTATCTTAAATAAGTCTCAACATTTTAACAAATATTAAATCCTAAGCAATAACACAAAAGCAACAAGACATACCACTGATTTTTATACTCCAAACTTTGGAACTGTAATTTTTTCTCACTCAGTCTTTATTTATGGTATTAAACTTTGGTGATCTCTGCAAGCAATCGTAAAAGGTAGCTCATCATTAAATATTTTCAAAAAATTATCATTAAATCTATTATTTTTATTTTTTTTTCTCTATTTTAAAGTTTTTCTATGTGTACAGCAAATGTGTATTGTAACAAAGATGATATTTTGTATATTACGTGATTCAATATTTATATGAATAAAAATTTACCATTTACAATTTAGAGACCATCCACAAAGAATGTCACGCTTCAAGGGGGGAGAGAGTCCGAATATTTGTGACACTTTGTGACGAGGGGAAGAGGGGCGGGGTAAACGCAATTGTAACGTTCCTTTTTTTAAATAAACAAAACAATTATTGAATTTTCTTTCATAAATGCGCATAAATGAATATTAAAGTTTACAAGCGAGCAAATATTTCATGAATATTAATTAAAGGAGTCAAATTTAAATGCCATCGTTTAAGTTTACCGACGTGTAGGTGTAGAAGTTAATATTAATTCGTTATATTTTAATTATGGTAGAGTACTTAGATATCAAACTATCGTCATATAAACTTGTCATTCGCTTTTTTGATATCAATGAAAAATAAAATGTATAGAGCATTGTAATAATGACTCTTCACTAAGGGGGGTAAAGTTTTGTGACCTGCTTATTTTTGGGTGGTTGGTCGATTTGTGACAGTTTGTGACACGGGCAAGAGGGGGTCAAAAAAACGTTAAAAAACCGTGACATATTTGATAGACAGCACCTTATTATTATTAACATTACTGAAAATTAAAAGCTAGTTTTATGTTTGTTTTTGTTCTGCTTATAGATCAATTATTTCATTTTGAAAAAAATTTGGAACTTTTTATAATTGTTTTCAATTTAATAGAACAATGTATTATTATATATTTTTTATTCATTTTGTGTATGATTCACTCGATTTGTTTGTTTTTTTTTTTAATTTGCTTTATAAGCTATGCTTTTGGTATATAAAAGGAGGCTCTCAAGTCTTATTAAAAAAACATTATTATTAGAGAATTTTTATGGCTCTCTTTAATATTACTCAAAAGTGCTTTTTAAGCTTAATGGAATAGATGCATGATTAAAAAACCTTTTCAGCTCCCTGCAAAATTGTTGAAAATTCAATTCTGGTTGACCCAGACTGTTCGGCAAACTGTTCCAAACTGTTGGACTTGCAACTGCAAATACACGAGTGGCCACCATTAACCGTGTCTACGGCAACGACAGAAAAAGTTTGTCGTATGGTACATACCTTTGGAAAAAAAGCGTCAGTAAACTTGTTAAATTATTTTACTGAACTAAATCTGTACATGTCGGTATACGATGAGCAGTTGTTGTTTTATATGACAAATTTCTAGACAGATAGTGTAGGCCAAGACCTAGGCTTACATAGTCAAACTTTATTCCTCCAGAAATGACTTTTGCCGCTCGATTCTGAATAGACGGCAGACGATCGATCAGTCCATTGCAGTATTCTTTTTTTGAATGGACAAATATGTGAACCAAGCATTTCAGTGTTTCTTTGTTGAGAAGTTTTTAAAGCTAAAACAACATTTCTTAGTAAGTTGTAAGAAGAAAGTTGTCAATGAAAACAGTAAAACTCCAAAAAGCTTGTAGAGGGTTGTTAATAAAATTTTTCTAAACAGTCACAGTGAAGGCACTAAACGTGAATTCAATGATCTCAATGCTGGCCAGTTCATGACTTTCTTTAATGAAAAAATTAAAGTGATAAAACAGGAGATTGACACTGAAAATCAATCTTGTCTTAACAGTGATGACATGGATGTCAGGAGTTGTTTTTGACTTTTCGGGCGGTGTCTGAGACTGATGTCAGGAAAGAAGTGCTTCATTTACCTAAAAAGTCCTGTCAACTAGATATTTTACCAACGCGTTTTTTTAAAAAGCATTTTGAATTGTTTTGTCCATTTATAACCAGTTTGATAAACTTGTGCACGATGGTAGGTTGCTTCCCCACACCTTGTAAACATGCAATTGTTGTGCCGTTGTTGAAAAAAAAGTGATGCAGATCCAGATGACGTCAGTAATTATCAACCAGTCAGTAATCTGTCATTTATATTAAAACTCATTGAAAGAATGGTGTCGAGACAATTGCTTGCTCATTTGAATGATAATAATCTCATGCCTGCACATCAATCCGGTTTTAGACAATTTCACTCCACTGAAACTGTCCTGCTACATGTTCTCTCAGGGGTTTATGCTGAGATGGATGCTCAAAACATTTCCTTGTTGGCATTTTTGGACATGAGCTCGGCTTTCGACTGTGTCAATCATGAAATTTTACTACTTAGGCTACATCAAAATTTTGGAATATCTGGGGAAATAATAAATTGGTTCAGAAGCTTCTTGATTGGCCGAACACATCAGGTTTCGTTCAACGGGAGTTTGTCCTACGTCAGTGTGGATCGCTCTGGTGTGCCGCAGGGATCTGTTTTGGGTCCTTTATTGTTTCTGCTTTATACATCTGATGTGCTGAAAATAATTGATTCCTATGATTTTAAAAGCCATGCATATGCAGACGACATTCAAATTATGCTATCAAGTAAACCGAAGTTATTTCAAGACGAGATTACGAGATTCATTGAATGTATGGCGGAGGTTAATCTGTGGATGTCGAGAAATGAATTGAAGCTTAACCAGGGTAAAACAAAATTTCTTCCTATTGGTACCTGGCAGCAGTTGGCAGACTTGGATATAAATTCAGTTGTTATGAATGATAAAAAAATAGAGCAGTGTCGAACCTAGGTTTTATAATTGATTCAAACCTAACAATGAAATCTCATTTTAAAATGATCTCTATATCATGCTTGGCACAGATTATAAGAATGAAACAAATTCGAGAATCACTTGATAAAGACGCAATGCAGACTCTGGCGCACGCATTGGTGCACTCACGTGTCGATTATTGCAATAGTTTATTTTATGGACTCCCAGCTAGGTCCATCAAAATTCTGCAATCGATACAAAACCGTACTGCCTGGTTGTGGCTGGATGTCGATGGTATGATCATGCCCATAAATAAAAGAATTGTTTTTAAAATCTCTGTCACAGTTTTCAAATCACTAAATGGTCTGGCTCTAAAATATTTATCAGATAAACTGAAATTAAAAACGTCGATCGTATCTGGTGTGCGTCTGAGATCTGACGATTCGAACATTCACGTGGTTCCTCATAGACAGCTAAAGATTGGTTCGCGTGATTTTGCTGTGTCAGGCCCTGTCGTATGGAAAGGCTTGCCGTCAGCCCTCAGAATGCCTGGAATGAACATTGCTGAATTTAAAAGACAATTAAAGACATACCTTTTTTCATTATATTTCATCTCTTTTCATTTTTGCTATTTTGTTATTGATATTAGTTATAATTTGATAGCGTTTGTGAAAACTGCTATAACGAACGCTATAAACCTCGAAGCAGGGAACCCAATCGCTGGTGGATCTCAACGTTGAAGCTGCTCCTGCTCATTCTTCTCTTTCAACTCCTAACAATAACATCAATAAAAACAACTCTAATTCCAGTGGCCACGAAGGCTCTTGGAGCACTGTTACTTCAAAAAAAAGAGAAAATACACTCCAATTACTGTAGGTTCCAAACAACCTGGGTCCTTCAAATTATCTGCAGCTCCTTTGCCTCCAAAAAAAATTGTTTTTGGGGTAGGTAAATTGAAAAGCTGCGTCAAAGAAGAGATCCTTGAACATCTGGAAACTATTGGACTGACCGCTGCAGAATGCGTACCAGTCTTTAAATTCTCTCCCACTCGTCCTCAACCTTCAACCAGTGATCCATCAACAAAATTCCGCATAACTATTTTTAAACATCAGGAAATGATTTTTACCAATCCTGAAAATTGGCCTATCGGCGTGGAAATTCACCCCTGGTTGTTTCATGCTCGACCACAGCATTTGATAAAACCCACTACAACTTCACTACCAAATCATTATCCTGTCGATCTACCAAATGTTAATACACCATCGCTGGTCAACTCACATCAGCATGTAGAAAACACAGTTGAGGTAGCTTCCATTTTAACTTCTTCGGAAGAATCCACTCAGCCAGTCGAGCCAGTCACGATGGGTCCTTCTCAGCTGGTCGAACCACATAAACAACAACAAGCCTCATCGATGATGAGTCCTCCCTCCGATGTCAATTCTGCGACATCAATAAATCACGACAATGGCTGTTAACAATACTTATTCCACAATCAATTCTATCCAACAACATCCTCAACCATCAAACAACGACGAAGATGATCAACACTTTAACGCATACAACACCCACATCGACCCCACAAAGAACCTCCTAGATTCATTCACCAGACAGTCATCCTACTACACCACAAGAGATCTACTCAACGTTCTAGAAGCCAAGTACATCAACAATCATGATCACCCTCTACCTCTACTTCACATAAACAGCAGAAGTCTTTTAAATAAAATTTTTGACATTTTAATTTTAAATAAATTTTTTTCCCATTATTATTATTTCAGAGACATGACTGAATGACGAAACCGCTAAACTAGTTCGTATGAATGATTACAATTTTGTTTTTAAAAATAGGTCTGACAGAATAGGTGGTGGAGTCGGAATCTTCATCAGATCAAACATTGAATTTTCTATGATAAACAATTTGCTTCTGAACGACACCATTATTGACCTTCTTGGTGTCAATTTAAAATTAAACAACACACACGTAAATATTTTAGCAGTATATAGACCCCCAAACACTGACCCTAATATCTTAATCCAAAAGCTCGAACTTATTTTATCCACATTCAAGCCACACATAAAGAGCTATTTAATTGGCGACTTTAACCCGCATATTCAACTTCATAACTTTTATTCACTTATTTGATATGTTGTTGGTTATGAATAAAACTTTGAAAATGAAATGAAATGAAATATATATATATATATATATATGTATGTATGTGTGTGTGTGTGTGTATTTGTGTGTGTATTTGTATGTGTATTTGTATGTGTGTGTGTGTTCTACAGTTCATAAACAGTTTTTATATCTGCTCGCATATTCGGAGCACAAAACAGAGTTAATTAACTCGAAAATTTATTTGTTCGCCACTATTCTCTCTTTGGGAGCTGATTAAATGTTAAAAAAACTCACTGAAAGGTTCTGGACCGATGTTGAATGTAGTACTTTTGCTGAAAAAAGTGAATATTGGATAAAATGAAAAGATTTAAATAATTAAAATAGATCATTCTGGTGTAAATAATAATCTTCAACGCATAAATATTCATTTTTTTATTTTCAACAGTGATGATTTTTGTTGTATAAGTGATAAGCTTCATAACATTTTTTATCATTACTATTTGCACTATTTGCTCATGTGTGTGCTGACGTGACAGGATCCAAATCTCGGAGGCAATGAAAGATTCCCGTTTAAAAGAAGGGCATGAAATAATAGGAAATGACAAAAATCAACACGCACACACAAGCAAATATTCATATAAATATATATGTATGTGTATATGCATATATATGTGTATTTAAACATATATATGTGTAAGTGTATATAAGCATACACACACATACACACACTAATTGTTCAAACAAAGAAATAATATCAATTAGTAAAGAAAAAAATAAGATTAACCAAGTCCACTAATAGCAATAATTGCAAATCACATGAACAAAGGCCTGGGCTGTATAAATTCCCTATATAAACTACAACAAAAGCTGGGTTATACAAATTTTATATACAAACTGCACAAGTGCTGAAGATGATTTAAAAATTGAAATAGAAATACACTCGAGAATGAATTGAAAATTATTTATTATTCTTACTTTAATAAAATAAAAAATAACGACAAGAATTTTATTAGAAATATTGAGAAATGTAAGAAAAAACTATCCAACGCTAAAAATTCAGTAGATTTCATAAATTGATAAATTAATTACGGTCTTTTACCGGCATTCACGAATATATAAATAAATAATAATTGCATTTCTGACAGTCTTAACAGTTCATTTACAAGTATTCCTTACCATCTTCGATGTTCAAATTGATATATATATATATATATATATATATATATATATATATATATATATATAATAGGAAATATTCCAGCTAAACAAGAATTGGAGTATATAAAACATATATAATACATACATACACAAAACCCATACATACATACAAAAAACATACATACACCAAACACACACACGCACACGCAAACACGCGCAAACCCACACACACACACACACACACACACACACATATATATATATATATATATATATATATATATATATATATAATATTTCCTACCTACCTCGTTCATCAAATCAATGAACTGTTCTACTTAAAGTCCACAACTAAAAGTTGGTCAAAATTTTTTATATATTTGTAGTGTGACTTATTAGCGTAAAACGATGAAAGAAATGCTTGCTTAAAATGTTAGCTAATTGGACAGACGTCTCATAAGGTCTAAAACAAAAATTCAATGAAATATTTCTTACTTCGATCGTTAAAATAGTCACAAAACTGCATACCTGTTGAAAAATTAAGCTACAAGCATTAATAAAATTATTGGAATGAAGCTTAAATAAAAATTTAATGAACAAAAATGAACTTTTTCAATGAAAATAAAAATTTCCGTCTAACGCTAAATGATGTGGAATTCATTATAAATGAATTAAACAACCTAAATAAAAATCTCAAGAACATAAATTAATTTTTTCAAGGAAAATAAAAATTTTTCTCTAACCCATTTCAACGTAAAAATGATTTTGAATTCATTATAAATGTTGAGTTCATAATCAATGTTGAATTTATTATTTCATTTTTTGTCAACTTCATTTACTGCTTTTGGACAGATTTGAAGTGGTAACTTAAGTTTCGAAAAATTAACCAAACTTGTGAGCCATTCAAATTACCAAGTTTTTCCAAGTATCTATTCACAATAAAAGCAAAAGTATATATAAAGTGTGTATAGGCTGTTAATATTCACGTGACTGAGTCTGACTATTTTAGTTTGTACGTATGAATTACTGCCACTATGTACGTACGTGTACCTTGTTATTGTGAACTCATGCATTTGAAAGGATCGTTTTTGTATCGGAACGAGAAAAGAAAAATTTGATTTTAATATCTAAAAGTTCTAAACGTTTTAGAAAAATATCTATACATATGAAATTTCCAGAACCGATGCATTGGTAACCCAGATGAATAAATACCATTATATGCGAACAAGCTCAACAAATAGACATACGTACGATTCAAACCAACGTTCAAACATACAAGTATTCAAATATATAATAACTTTTGAAATTAATTTAACATATTTTGTATATTGTATATTTTATTATCAGTTATCTTAACATATAATTTATTTTATTGGCAAGTTAAGTACCTTTACTCAAATTTCGTATACTTTTTACATTAATTTTAATTTAATTTCCTTAATCATTTTACGCTTATATTTTCCCAGTTTGGTTCGTTTATTCTTCTTGATTTTACAATTTTAAATATTCAATTCATATTTAATAATTTAAAGGTAGGCTCTGATGATGACATACACTGTCGAAACGACGTCGTCAGCCGTTCGAAATCCTAGACGAGTTTAATAAAATTGAGTTACAACAATTGCGTCTTATTGAACAAACCCAAAAGAAATTAATTAATACAAAATGGGCAAGAACATTCAACCAAATATATAATAGTATATTTATGATGTACTATGAATATATAGGAAACTTTTGGAAAATTATTATGAAAATAGGAAACGATTGAGAAAGAAAAGAAAAATTATCGAAAAATTACGGATACATAGGGGAATGATCATAAAGTTACCCTAACCGAAAACATCAAGAATGTTCGTGCATAAGTTTAGAGACAACAACCCACGTATATGGTAACATGCACAGTTAAGTGACTGATCACGATTATCGGTAGATCTTAAAATGCCTAGCCACCCACAAACTATACGGCCAAGTTGTTTTCCATTTACGTTCTTGCAACTTGAGGCAAATTAAGAAGCACATCAATTTTTATTAAATATAATGCAACTTTTTTAATATGCTTAGCCACCCATAAACGGTATTTGGGATTTTCGGTCCCGGAGTTTTCGGTCCAAGATTTCACTATAAACAAATTTTCGGTCCAGGAATTTTTTATCCCGGAGTTTTCAGTCTCAAATTTCACTATATAGGAATTTTCGATTCCAAAATTTTCGTCAGTTTATACAACGTTCAACAGCGCTCGAACGTTGTGTCGAGGCACGCGCTATTCACCGAATCACATAATTAAAGTATATGATAAGCTTTGGCATAGCATGCATTCGAACCCGGAGCCCACGCTCGTAACCACTACACCCCACCCGCAGCTCAAATCAAATTGATCGTGCTTGCATTCATGTATGTAAAATAGTGATTGTATTGCTTTAAACAATAAATTATTTGAGTAATGCTTGCATTCTATTCAAGAATTTTCAGGTGATAATAGTATTTCAAGATATCCTTGCATTTAGTTAGGGTTTGGGTTGAGGATACATTACGAAGGTCCGCTCATTTTTTAAATTTTCTTGTAGATTTTTAAATTGCATTGTCGACATAGATTGCCCCTTTGTCTCAATTTTTGTGTACTAAAACATTGGGGACCGAAAATTCCGGACCGAAAATTCCGGGACTGAATTTTCGGGGACCGAAAATTTCTATTGTGCAAAAACTCCGATACCGAAAATTCCAGGACCGAAAATTCCTAGTTTTCCCACAAACTATACAGCCCAGTTATTTACCATAACTTGAGGCAAATTATTAAGCACATCAATTTTCAAATATATTGCAACTGTTTCAATAAAATTAATTTTTAATTGGGATGCAAAGATCAGCACCTAGATTATCACGCCTCCTCGTACGATTTATTTTGTGAAATGAGAAGTGTATCATAAAAATTTTAAACTAGTTTTAAGAAAAAGATTTAACCAAGTTTGTAGCTTTTACGACGCAATTTTTAAAAGCAAACAAATACAATGGTCGACAAAGTTGTAGAATTTGTTCTGTTACTAATCATCGCCTAATAACTTCCTGTCTTGTGCATTCAACTGATCGTTTCGCACAATAAATATTCTTGCTCTACAGCATTATTGCATGTATTTTGTATATGTTCTTGATTTGTGAGCGTTACTTTTGCATATATGCATTGGGTGACAATGAATATAAGTTATAACGAATTATTTGTTCATACATAATATTTGTTTTGAAATGAATTCAAACATGCTATTTCACTTATTTTTTATAATACAATTTACATAAATATGAATGAGAATAGAACCATAAACTATAAAACATAAGGACACAAACAAATTTAAAACCATCAAAAGAAATATCAAAAAAGAAATTTGAAAAAAAAACTCAAGAAATTTATAGGTAACATCAATAAAGCACTTGCCAGCATTTATTTAGATGAATCGTTCGATTTCCATGCGACAATCGAATAATTAAGACAATGACAACAAGCTGCATCAACATGAGCGATGATTATGAGAAGACGATGACAGCCGAAGTACTGTTAACAAATTTTTTAATCCTTTACTATTTTCTATGCTAAAAACTTGTTTCTTTAATATTTTCAACATAGTCCTATAGTATTTTTTTATGATTTCTTCCATCATTAGCTTTGTTTTTGATATCTTTAGTCTCGCTGATGTTGTCCTATAGTTGTTGTAGTTTTTAATGCGTCGAAACTACCACGTTTTTTTAATTAAGTCGTTTTCGTTTATTATCGTGTTAAAATATTCCTAAAAATATTTGTTGTCATTTTGCATTATAACAAAAATAGTTTAAGAGGCTTTTGTTGTCAAAAAGTTTAATTTCCATGTAAGACAATTATTGTCATGAAGTTTATAATACAAATTGTGCAAACGTCATTTAATGTCATGATGGATTTCCATCTCGGACGCACATGTTCACGTGTTCAGTGACATCCACAAACATCAAAGTGTCGTCGCCGGCTGATGCAGCTTACTAAATCAAGAAAGAAATTCAATCAGCGCTACCACGCTATCCTTGCTTCATCATCACATCAGTTCATGTGAATGGACTTTTAATTTTGTCAAACGTAGAAATCCTGAAATAACGCCAAATTTTTCCTCATTTATTTATTTTTAAACTTAGCAGAATGTTTATCTGAGTAATTAAATGACCGTTCGTTATAATTTTTTGGAGTTAAAAAGCAAAAATTAATTAATCAACCGCTCTTATTTTAGAACAGCAGACTGAACCGCGCAGATCAATCACTGAATGTTAACGGACAGCATGAAGATAGAAGCGTCATAAAATTCATTAACGGAGATGGCTTTCGATGGCTTTTGTTAAAATATTTTGGTTCAGGCTAACATCTGTCAATTGAATGTTTTTGTATTTGTGTGATTATTATTGTACTGAACAATTGAAAAAATTGAAATAATTTAAAAAATTATTCTAAAGCTGATCAAAACATTAAAATGTTTTGATTAGCTAGCACACAAAATTGTGCAAGCTTGTTAACTGAAGAACATCAAAAATGTAAGGTTCAAAACAAAATGTTCTTGGTTTGATTTTTTAGTTTTATAAAAATTTAATTTCATTCGAACAATATAATTTTTTTGTTACATCAATTTAAATTGCTCATTCAAAACATTTATTTTCTTAGAAGATTTGGAAGCCGAAAATTTAGCAATACAGTATATTATCATCGATATTCAACGTTTGAGACGACAAATGGCGATTCTTCGATGTTGGCTCCTTTGATCGGTGCAGCATGACAACAACACGTTTCACAATTTGACCAAACAGCAGGAGACTCACATTAATAATTAGTATGCATGTACTGGTTGGAAAAAATTTAAATATTTTACAAATTTTCACTGAATATTTTCACTCACAATTTTTAATCACTTGTACAAAAACTCTAAACCAGAAATTGTTCGTTCAAAAAAATCATTTTAAGGTCGCATTTTTTAGTTTTAAAAATAATCTTTTTGAATCTTTTTTAATCAAAATAAAATTGTGCAAGCTTGTTAAGCGGTGCAAATGTTCCGGTGTCCCAGCATCTAGACGAAACTGCCCTGGATACGTTTATCAAAGCCCTTCGTGATTCGGAACTCAAGCAATCCCTTCTCTTGTCAGATAAACGAAAACTCAAGGACGCCGTTGCGCACAGTCTCACTGTTGAATCGGCAAAGCAAGCATCAAAAAGTGACGTACGTCTACGCCAAGTACATGAAGAATGCTCTTGCCAGAAGGTGGTTGTAAAACGCGAACCACAACAGCATGGTGTACCCCAATGCTGGATTTGTGGTGAAAAAGGCCATCTACGTCGTGATTGTAAACACCGCCTAAAAGATAACTACTGCCGAAATTGCGCGACAAGATGGCGCAAAAGAAGAGAAGATGATCCTGTATCACGATCGGCCCCTTCTAACGAAGGGGCGGAAAACTAATAAGAGCCAACTTTGTGGGGCAGAGGTTGGCTAGTAGAATTGACGCCCCCAGTACCGTAATTAACGTTTCCAGACTACATCGAAATCGAAACGACCTATGGCTGAACGGAAAAGTTGATCAACGAGAATGTGTAATTACAGTCGACACCGGAGCAACAAAATCGATTTTAAGATCTGATTTGGTACCCAATCTGAAGAAAGAGACTTCTAACAAATACATCCTTCGAACAGCTACCGGAGGAACAGCACCAGTCTATGGAAAGATTTTCCGTACTGTTCAGCTAGGCGACTTGTTATTCGAAGGTTTATTCTTATTCGCGGATATCATCGACGAATGCATAATAGGTGTCGACTTTCTGACAAAATATGGGTTCAAAATTGACTTGGAAAAACGCATTCTTAGATGGAGAAATACAGAAGTGATAATGGGGGATAGCGACAAAAAATGCATTCGAGTGACAGTCGATTGTGACATAGAACTACCTCAATCATCTGAAAACATCGTATGGGGCAAGTTGAATTGCGATCCTGGGGGCCACCAGTTCTATTTGATGGAGCCAACCTCAACGACAAATGTACAGAACGCGGTCATTGGAAAATGCCTGGTAGAAGCGAACAAAAATGGTCTTATTCCTGTCAGAATAATGAATACCGCTAAACACATTATTAAAATTAAAAAAGGCAAGGAAATAGGTAATTGCCATTCAATAAATTTGGTAAAATCATTAGATATGAAGCAACAGAAAAAGGTTCTACCAACTGACAAAGGTAGACTCAAAGAACTTACCAAAAATCTACTGGATGAACTCAATTTGTATCAAGAAGACCGTCTAAAAGCCGAGGCGTTGATTGCTGATTTTGCAGACGTGTTTTCAACCGGTGACGATGACCAAGGTAAAACAGCTCTGGTAACTCACCGAATTGATACTCAGGATGCGAAACCGATCCGACAAGTACCGCGACGTCTTCCTCTAGCAAAACAAACAGAAGTAAACGAAATGATAACGACAATGCAGAATCAAGGCGTTATCGAACCGTCATCAAGTCCCTGGATTTTGCCAGTTGTTTTGGTAAAGAAAAAGGACGGCACTACCCGTTTTTGCGTTGATTATAGGAAGTTAAATGATGTGACTAAAAAGGACAGCTATCCGTTACCGAGGATTTATGACATCATGGACACCCTATCTGGCTCAAGTTGGTTCTCTACGCTTGATTTGAAAAGCGGATACTGGCAAGTAGAAATCGACAAGAACGATCGCGAAAAGACAGCGTTTTCTATCGGATCGGGGTTGTGGCAATTCACCGTCATGCCATTTGGATTGTGCAATGCTCCAGCTACATTCGAGCGACTGATGGAATGTGTATTGCAAGGTCTTAACTGGAAAACCTGTCTTGTCTATTTAGACGACATAATTGTTTTAGGAAGAACATTTGATCAACACGTCGAAAACTTACGAGAGATCTTCACAAGACTTCGGGTGGCAAATTTAAAGCTGAACGTTAAAAAGTGCAAGTTATTTTCTAAAGAAGTTAACTATTTGGGACATGTGGTATCTTCAGATGGAGTTCGAACCGATCCCAGCAAGATAGAAATTGTGAAAGACTGGCCAACTCCAAAGGATAAAAATGCTAGAATCGGACCATCTAGAAGAATCTAGAAACGACGCTTGCGAAGAGTATATAAGCGCACGTCGCAAGTGATTAGTGATATTCGTGATTAGTAATATTCGTGATTAGTGATATTCGTGATTAATGAAATTCGTGATTTTGTGAATAGTGATTCGGTGAATTATTTAAAGCGATATTTGATTTGCTTGTTGACGTTGTCATAGCGATAGATTTTGAACGATTTAAAAGTTAATTGTTGCGTTAGTTTGAATTTACTGGAAATAAACGATTAGTTGATTTCTTCTGTAAATAAAGTTTAATAACTAATAATAGTTGATTTCTTCTGTAAATAAAGTTTAATAACTGTTTGGAATATTTTATTCAATCGAGGATTTGAACCCGTCGCATCGTAAATCGGTTACGACAGCGAGTATTATAACAGTATGAATGTGCCAGACCAGAGCAGAAAATGTGACCATATAATTTTATTTTGATTTGTTTTTTATTTATTTGAGAAAAATTATTATAAAAATGCAATTGAATTAACATCAACAAAATTAGCGATAAATTGATCCTGAATTATATTTTGAATAATTGGGCAAAATAATTCAAAACAATAACGGCAATTGAAAAGGCCAGTCTCTGCAATGTTTTTATGTTCTAGCAGACCAAACCACTGAGAGTGTCTTCAAGCAGTTGCGATCAGCTGACCTGACACGACCTCACGGAGCGTGCGTGCACGTGGATCGCATTAAAATTGTTGGAGCCTTTGTAAAGTGCACTACTGTCCTGCCTCTTCTTGACACAACATTCAATTAAGAAACACTACCATGAATTTAACTGGTACACCTTCTACGAGCATTAGTTACAACAACCTGGATTTAAATGAAACACATTGCAGGCAGACTTGCAAAATAATTTTTTAAATTTTTCTTGCTCAAATTTTTAACCCCTTCCTAAAAATTTTGTGCAATTATTTTAATGCTCTATAAGAGCGAATGAATGGAAGGAGAAGCAACTACGTGAACAGTTTGAGCAGAGGAATGCAACGTACTTTTATTTTTTCATTTGTTGCATTGTTTTTGAGGCTTTGTTTTGCTTTTTATGATGTTGTTCATTCAAGGAGTACTGACGAGACACAATTTTGTCATTCAAACATTTGTAAGCGCGACATTAATAATTATTTCAAATGATATTAGCGTATTTAAGAGGATCATATAAAAAATCATCGCAAGTTGCACCAAGGCCTTAAAGCATTTTTTTAAATTGCACAAAGGATGTTAATCATATTATTATTATCGTCAAAATTTGTTATTTCTTGATTATTCATTATTGTTTTGTGAACATATGAATACTTTTACATTTAGACACCAAAATACAGTGGATTGCTTTTGAGATTGACTAAATCAATTTGAAACATCTCGATCAATCAATCAATCAATCACTCAATCAATTGATTGATCAATTGGTTGGCTGATCAAGCTACATTTATAAGTTTGTTACATCAGTCAATCAAAATTTCAATAATCATATTAGAAACCGAAACAAGTCTTCAATAAGTTTAAAAAAACTACTCAGCTCGAGTGAACCAAACAATAAGATGCATGTAGGCACGCCTCCTCGTCACGTGGGGACCATCATCATTGAACCTCCCATCCAGGCAGTGTGCATTGAGAGGTTCCGCTCGGTTTTAAATGTACTCAGAACTTGTTTCTTTGAATGGCAATCCACTCCGCACACATGCACCACGCTAGGGTCATTATAAAACACTTTCAACATCTGCAGCTCATTATTTCTAATGCCACCAAATAAACCCTCAACTTTTGTGGTTTATGAATGGCGGGCAGACATTATGATGATGATGATGACAACAGTAGTGAGGATGATGGTTAACAACGATGTGAATAAGAAGCATTGTTCTAATGTATGAAATGCAGGCCTTAAAAAACAAACAATGGAGAATATTATTACTACTGCGAGAAAATAAATTTTCTTCTATCGTAATGAAAAGATTAGTAATTACCATTAGTGTAATTATTATTATCAAAGAAAGAATAGTTTTAGAGCGTCATTCACACGGCCGTCTTACGGCCGCTCTCGTTTTTACGCACCCATTTTAAAAAAATGTGTTTATGCTTTCTTCCCACAGTCTCTCAGACCAATCATCTTGAGAGCCCGAAGAGCCCGAGTGACGTGGAAGGTCTGCAAGGTGAAATTTGTTGGCAGGGATGTTCAAAAACTCAACTGTTAAAAACTAACAAACGGATTTAATTATTTGTGGCGTGACACAATTATTTTTGTTGGATGGTGTTTTTGAGATAAAATTCAGAACCGAAATGAAGTAAATAATGCAAGAAAAAATTGAAAACCAGAGCAGCATTAAAAGAGGAGTAAAAAAATAATTGAGAAGATTTGTTTTTAATTAGTCGACAGTTCTGTTCTGAAAGGTCTGAAAAATCTTCATGGAAAAGTGGAAATCCTCTGACTGAAACCAATGAATTGCTATTTACCAGTCTTCATTGAACCAGACGTCGGAAGTGGTGATAACGCGATTGGATAAGTTCAACAAAGTTGTGGCAGCGGATATTGTTATAAAAATGTAGTAGTAATAATATTTAAGCTAGTGTAATGCACTGAATTGAAATATGCATTTATGGAGCTTCTCTCAATTCATCTTTGGCTGCTCAGTGAGCTTCGTTTCAAACCGGATTGTCGGATACTTTTTATTCAACTCAGGAACGTGTTAAGATCTTGATTTTTTAAATTTAAAAATAAATATTTTTTTAAAGATATCCTTGTCTTTTTAATATTTAAATAAACGCTAATAAGTTATTAAAATCATATTTTCTTTAAGATGTTTTAAAACATAAAGGACAAGTAATTTTACAAAAAAAAACAATTACATCGACTGATGTTAAGTGTTTTTTTAAGTATTTTTTATTTGGCAGTGCTATTTAAGTAAAATGATGATGTAAAGAATAAAAATTTTTAATGGGTGTCGGAATTTTGAGTCCAGAGTCGGAGTTTAAAATTTTTACCCGGGGTCAAAGTCAGAAAAATTTTTATCCGACTTTAAACACTGACACTTGCGTAATTTTAATATTACCAGGTAGAAAATAAAAAATCTTGGCTGAAGCACTTAAGGAACGGTGTACGAACACCATAATCTAAAACATACAACAGTACCGTTGATGACATTTTGGTGATGTCATGGCAGTAATGATATTGTTGAAGCAACAAGATTGTTGATGCAACAAGATGGTTGTAAAAATATGTAGATAGTGATAATATTGTTAATAAATTTTAGTTTTTCAGAAAAATTTAAAAATCAATACGCATATAATGACAATATTAGACAATTTTTTGGAAAAAAAACTCAAATAATTGTTTTGTACAATTTTGATTGGATGCGAAAATAAAATTTTAACAAATCGTTAGTGAAAAAAAATATTTTTTAAATTTTAAATACAAACGCAAATTAACTAAAAATTTCGTTTAAAATTTTTAAATGGATTTCTTCTTGCAGACCGACAAAAGTCTAATCCTTCTAGAGGTCTTTTGTTCTTCCGTTCAAACAAAAAAGCCATCCATCAGTTGAGATTATTTTTGGACAATTATTTATTATTAATTTCCAGCAAATGATTTATTAGCTAGAAGAAATGTTTCAAATTAAAACGATGCCATATTATATGTAATGATGCAATTTATTGGCTGTTGTAGAGAAACCATAAGAGGCCCCAATATGAAATATTCAAATGGAGGGCTTGTTATCTCGATGTTCTAACTATGCAAATTATCCCACTATGAAATAATAATGAACGTGAGGTGAGTCGAGTACACAAAGTTGGAACTGCCGACTGCACGTGAAATTGCTCAACTTAAAACTTCTCCAAGTCATCTTAGTTGAAATGTGAGGGAGCATGAGCAATAAAATAAAATAAAATAATAGCTGAGATGTGAAAGAAATTGGGTGCTGAATTAGTCACTCAAATACGTTTCATGCTGTTGCGTGAGTTGTGAGTTGGTCATAATGGATTAGATGTCGGAAGTCGGTGACTTGATACCAAAAACATGCGCTCAACATTGCCTCAGTACACATTTGATATCAATTTGAAATTAATGCAATGTTTCAGACAAATAAATAAATTATTGAATTTTGACAGTAAATATACTTGGATTCCTCAAAAAGATATAAATAAAACGATCGAAATAATTCCTATGAATAAGAGTGTTGCTAGAGTGAGTCTGCTTCAATAAATTTTTCAAAGATTTAAAAAGAAAAATAGTGTTTGCTGGTGTGAAATTTTTAAATATCAACTATTTCCGTTGAAGCACACCATTTTCACCAACTTCGTTATTTGCAAATGTCTAATAATAACTGAATAAAATGAACCGATTCGCTTAAATAAAACCATGCATTATCTATAAGGACTATAATATAAATAAAATTTGTTTATTTCAAATGTGAAAATAATAAAAAATTTTTTAGAAATTGGCCGTTGTTGTTAATGATAATATATCCACCAAGACCAACAGATCAGGTGCCTCCATTCAAAATCAATGTTAATTTAGGTTTGCCTGCATGACAGAATAAAAATTTCATAAAAACTGTTAACTGTTCGTTGACATAAAATTTCATACTCTCCCCCCCGTGTGTGTGTTTGTGTGTGTGTTTGTGTGTGTGTGTGTGTGTGTGTGTGTGTGTGTGTGTGTGTGTGTGTGTGTGTGTGTGTGTGTGTGTAAGATACTAGCATATTTACGAGTTGGTGCGGCAATAACTCTGGTAAGATTGCTCATTGAACTTGCTCTCACTGTCAACTTGAAACGGCATCTTTAATTAATTTAATTTAAACTAATCAACAATTATTTTATAACTGTTTCCGAAGTACTAGGCATCAAAGAGGATTGAACCCCTGTCACGCCAATGAAACACAAATAATAATGTTATATCCATGCCATTTATTATAATAATATTACTATTATGTTATTATTATTATTATTGTTGTTACTATTATTAGAGCTTTTATGTAGCGCTTTTCACTAAAATATTTCTTCAAAAAGTTTTAAAAATTTTAAAAATAAAAAATAATTACGAATTAAAACACACTTCTTTGCTTGTGAGCATTGATGTGATGTGTACTTGTCCTACTGTCTTCTTCTCGTGTGATGTCCCATTTTACAATTTTTACCCACTTTTGATGCTGATATTTTTTGTTTTGTTTTTAATATTAACAAGTTACTGCAGACACCATTGGACGTCTCGGCTGCATTCATTTAGTTATCGTACAGATTGTTTCCACTATTCTCAAACCCAGTTTAGTATCAGTTCCATCAAATTCCGAATTCCCACTACAAACTTAAAATAATTAGTTTGAAAAATTTTTTCAAAACCAATTTGTAACTTTGTAAAAAAAACCTTGCATTCTCAAAACAAAGGAAATTGATTGAAAAAATCGATGAGTCCTTCTTTCTAAAATTTATAAAGTTTGATTGTGAACATTTTTTCTTATTTTTTTTAGATTTAATTTTTTCACGTTCAATCATGCTCTGAACTCTGAAGTCTTTAATTACATGTCTTACAATTTACAGCAACGATAAAAAACTCCATTCACACCGGACCATCTTTACTGATTTGATAACAAAATTTCTTGGAATAAACCCATTATAAATATTTTAATTTTAGTAAAATTTTCTTAATCATACTTGTGACTTCCTTAAAAATTAATTTTAGTTTGGATTTTGTTATGAAATTTAAACTTTTAATGCATATTTACGGTGGAAACCAATTTTATGAAAACACTCCATGAAACTAAATAAACTAGTAATTAAATGGATAAGAATACATTTTAGAATGAAACATGTCAAATCATATCTGCTATTAATTTTAATATATTGATATTTATTTCAGAATCTCAACCGAAACGAAGAAAGTTGCCAGAACATGCCGTTCAAGTAATTCAATGTCTAACATGATTGCATTAAAAATGTTTAAATTTTTATTCTATATATTTTTGAAACTTCAAAATAACTTCAAAAACCTCAACTATTTTCGATAGATTTTTAAACAATTTTGATCAAAAATATATATTCATAATTTATCAATTAATAATATAATGTGTTACTCAAATTCAAACATTTTTTATTTTGACACGTTTCTTATTTTTTAGTACGTTTTGGATACATTATTCAGATTTTCAAAATTTTTGTTGTAGAAATATCAAAGATTTCATATAAAGAGTTAAGCTTACCTTCAAACAGAAATTTTTTTCTTGCATCATTTTAAAACTATATTTTTTTGCGAAAAGTTTTTAGAAAGAAATTCATCAAAAATTAATTCCTTCCTTCTTTCGTACGTTTTAATCAATTTGTCTGTTTAGCTTCCTATCTTAACTTATTACCTCAACATGGTTCACAACGCCAAGAAAGAATTCAGGCACTAGTTGACGCCACGTTAAAATGAGCCACTTCATAAAGTCTGATCTCTCCATTGCAAAATTTAATAAATGCATTTTGATGGAAAAATTTATAACAACACGTAAAAAAACGTTAAAATTTTAAGATTTTTACATTTTTATGTGTTTAAATTTATTTTATTTTATAGAAGGTAAAATTTCATGACTATGACTTTTCAAAACTCATTGGAACACTGTATTGGAGGTTGTTAGAAAAGTTATTTTTGAGAACGAAAAAAGAGATTCACTACAATTTTTGTATATTTTTTAAACCTGGAAATCTAAAATATAAAGCTCACCCCATGATTGTTTTATATATTGTTATACATTTCATTGTTTTATTTTGTGGTTTTATTATTCTCCATAACAGTGTTAGGCTTGTCTACCTGAAATTTACATAAATGTACAAACATTTTTTTTGCTCGTTGAAATATTTTTTCATTATTGAATATAACATTTATTTTTATAATTTTGAATGCAAGTTTTACTAAGCTTTGTTTTTGTACGTCTCATGTGCAATGAATATCGCGAACACGTTTAATTTTTTTATTTTTTCTTCCAAGCGTTGATGTTATGCTTTTCATTTTTTGTTTGTCGTTTCCTAGTGTTGGTGTTGTGGTTTAACAAAAAAGTCATATTAACGTAAAAACGAGAAAATGCCAGTTTTAGGCTTTAAACTCCGGTTTCTCAAAGATTTAATTGCAAATTAAAATCTGATATAAAATTATTTTGTTCTTTATTGTACACCTCTGACAAATGCTGAGCTGCTTACAAAGTTTTCTTTGCTCACAGCTGAATAGTTAAAGACTACAACATCCACAAACCACGGTGCACGCGCAGATGTACGCGCATGCATAGCGTATGATAGTTTTTAAGTTTCGGATTGACAATGTTCAAACCATTGCGTGATAACAGCTCGAGACATGGAAATTTTTCCTGTCTGAGCTAATTTGTCGACTATATTAAAAGGTTGGTTAATTTTTTTAAATATTGGAAAAATTTGATAAGTACTTTATAAAAAAGAATAAATTTAAAAAAAAATTGAAAAGAATATTTTAAACGAAATTTTTATTTCGTTAAAAAATACAAGAATAAAAACTTGAAAAAGAATAATTTTGATATCAATTACACAAAATTTTTCATTTCCAAAGCCGACATCTGAAACAATAATAATACGTTCGAAGACTGGATAAATCATTACGCGAGCATGGTCATAGTGGAACGTTTTGTTAACTTAACTAGAAAAGTGTAAGAACATGTTTGATGTTTTTTCAGAATGTTAAACCGTGAGCGTTGTTATATCAAACGCTGGCTCGCTTAACTTTGGCATAATTTTAACTAAATTCCAAATGCTAGTTGTGTGTAGTTTCAAACTATTGTGTTATATTATATATATATATATATGTTGGTAATAGACCATAATTTTTACAATATTCTATAAATTCTACCGAATATTTGGCGTTAATATGTTTGTAGTTCGTTTTTATATATTTTTTGTATATATATATATATATATATTTATATACATATGTACTTATATGTATATAAATATATATATATATATCAACAAATTTATTTCATATAAAATATTGTTAATTTCTTGTTAGAATCATTTATCGTTCAGTGCAGTGTTAAATATTTTTAATATTTAATTTAAATTAATTTTCTGATAGTCTTTATGTTTGTAGCTGCTGTATGACAACATTATTTGACAAGCCCATTTATATGTATATATATATATATATATATATATATATATATATATATATATATATGTGTGTGTGTGTGTGTGTGTGTGTGTGTGTGTGTGTGTGTGTGTGTGTGTGTGTGTGTGTTCGTGCTTGCGCTTATTTGTAAATTATACTTGTTAATACCAATGTTAATAACAATATATAAAATGAATATATTTATTAGTTTCTATGATGTCAGTCTTTTGAAGTAGTTTTGAAATTGTTTTGCTCTCTTTGAAATGAATTAACATTTTTGTGTATGTTCCTGTTTCCAACACACTGAAGTAGTTGCGTATAAGTATGAAATTGTTAAATTTTGTTTAATGATGAATTTTGTGAAAAGTCTGTAAAATGTAATATTTCTTTGAAAGTAATTGAAAAATAAATGTTTTCAATCAATTGGTTTTTGTTCTGAAATTTTTATAACTTTAAATTTATAAGAAACAAAAAACAAAATTTTGATAAAACGATTAACTTTTATGCGAATAAATAAAAAATTGAGGCTGACAAATTCAAGGCTTTGTCGCAAGTAAGATAAGCAGTCTTTTGGATGATTTTCGTAAATATATTAAAAATCTTCCAATGATAGATTTGCATATAAGTGATGTAAATTTTTTTTCATTAAACTTAACTTCACAAAAATAAACTTTTAAGAAGTTTAATACAGAATGTTGCTTTTCAAAATTTGAGAGGTGCAAACAAACGTCAATAGTTTTCAACCTTTCTTCAAAAATCAAATTATTTTCTTTTCATTAATTTAGTCGAATAAAAAGACAAAAGAAATAAGAATCGTAAAACATAACTGGAAAAAACTGAAATTACAAAATTCTTATTTTTGTCGACACAAAAAAATACCTAAGTAAATTTCAAAATTTCAAAAAAAATTGTAAGACCGAAAAATTGCTACTAAAAACAAAAAAAATGAAATGTTTTAGTTACAAACCAAAATTACTAATAGCCGGTAAAATGAAAAAGTCATCATTTTTGAAACCGTTATTTAACACGCATTTTTAGAACAAATTTTAAATATTTGGATATTGTTTTTAGAACCGACTTACATGATCCTCCTACATGATTCTTCTACACATATCGTTGTTAATAAATCTTTGGTGGGCGATAATATCAATTATCTTATTCTTGATAATTTTTTTAAATAAAAAAAAATAAGTTGTTTTTTAGTATATTAGAGTTGTATTCCCCAGCGTATTAGTTCGAAAACGGTTATGTGTTATTTAACATTATTATTTAATTAAGAATACATACTAACATAAGTGCAAGGCTAGAGGCGTTGAGAGGCTAGTACGACAACGGTTCGTGCAACGTGCAACCGTTGTAGGATACACGCCAGTCACTTGTTGTTTGGTGTTGTCATTTTTCTGTGTTTGTCTGATTGATTGTTCTCGCATTTGAGAGTGTATATTTGATATATAAATTATATATCTAAGATAGAAGGGGAGGGGAAGAGAGAGAAAGAGTAATTGATAATTGAGATGGCTAATAAGGATAAGAGTCTCTGCTGTGAGTGTAATAAGGTTTGTACAGCTGATAATTTATGCTGCATTACATGTAGGGTGTTCTGCCACCCCAAATGGGGTGGAATAACAGAAGATTTATTTTAAAAAAATTGCCAAAATATCCAATTTTATATGGAGTTGTAGTAATTGTTTGAGTGTGAGTACAAGTAATTTGGAATATGCTAAAAGTTTTGGTGACATTAAAAAAAACAAGAAGCGATGGATGCAAAATTGACAGCCTTACAGGAGGGGTACAATAAATTATTAGAAACCATCAAGGGTATGAATGTTTCAATTAAAAATACAGAAACTAATTCAGGTAGTATTAAGCTAATGGAAAAAAAAGTAAGTGAGACTATAGGGAATTTTAAAAATGATTGGGTTAATGCAGTAGGCAAAGAGATTTAAAAAAAAAGTAGAAGTGGTAAATAAAGAAGTACAGTCTGCGTGCAAAAATATAGAAAAAACTAATGAAGATATTAAAACCAGATGTGATGCACAAGATAGGGCAAATAACATTATAATTTTTGGTATATGTGAAAATAAGGAAGAGTCTGCTGAGATAAATAGATTGAATGATAAAAAAAGAATTTTGTCTTTTTGCTCGGTTCTTTCAGATGGTCATGTTACAGAGTGTGATATAACAAAATATTACAGGTTAAAGAGCTCTGGAGATAGACCAAGGCCTGTTTTAATTAAATTCAATGATAGAAGTAAAAAAAATTTGTGTAAGATAAAGTACTTAGAAACTGAGTTAACTAAAATAGGTGTATCCCATGATTTGAATAAAGAACAAAGGGAAGAGAGGAAAAAGCTTGTAGAGGAAGCAAAAGAAAAACAAAAGAATAATCAGGGGAATATATATACAGGGTAAGGGGATTGCCTGGAAGTATGAGGTTAGTAAAGATAGAAAGAAGGGGAAAAAGTTCAGACACAAATTAGGTAATGAGGATAATTGTTTTGATAAGGTCAGATTGAGCAATGGAAATAAGGACAGAGATTGTAAATTAGGTGTTCTCTATTCTCATGTAGACTCCATTTGTAATAAGATGGGTAAAATTAGATATTTAGTTGACTCGATATATAAGAAGATGCTTATTTTGATATTTGTGGATACAAACCCAAAGAACTTGACAGGTAGTTATCGACTGCAGGAATTTCAAATTAAAGGGTTCAGGTTGTATAGCTGTAATTTTATGAAGGCTGGATTCATAGGTATTTTCTGTCATGTTAAAAACACACTCTCCTCAGTTATTGTTGATTTTGAAAGCAAATTTGAAGAATATATTGCAGTTCGCTTGTTGAATTTAAAAGAGGAAATTTCATTCTTATACAGAAGCCCATACAGAAGCCCAAACTCCTGTTTGAAGAATAATGATGAACTCCTAAATTTAATAAAGATATTTATAGGCAATGGTGGTAATAAATTTATAATTGGTGATTTTAACATCCCTACAATAAACTGGGAGTCAATGTCTGTTAGTGGAGGTTTAAAGTCGTTTCAGTGGAAGTTTATAGATTGTGTAAATTATTGTTTTTTGGTTCAGTTCATTGATGCCCCAACAAGATATAAGAATAGACAGAAACAGAATATTTTGGATCTGCTATTGGCACAACAACAAAATTTAATACAAGATATCAAATATAATTCGCCTGTGGGTAAAAGTGATCATCTGATGTTGAGTTTTTCTTTGGTGGTGAATACGGAGGTAATAACACATTTAAAAGAAAATAAAATGTTTGATTATAAAAAAGGAAACTATTTTCTTATGAATCAATTTATTTCTGCAAATTTATCGATGCCTAAAATAGATAATTCAATAAAAGGTGATGGGGACAAGCAGATTGTGTTAGATGAGATTTGGGATAAGTTTGTTATGGTTATTAACATGGCTGTGAATAAATATGTGCCACTTAAGACTGAAATTTTTACTAAGAACAACCATTCAATTGAGTTACCAACTCATTTATTAGAATTAATAAAGGAAAAAAAATTGATATGGAAAAGATATATGAAAAATAGAAAAAGTATGCTGTATGAAGACTTCAAAAGGATTAGAAACGAGGAATCATGTTAATTAAACAGAATTATTTAGACAGCTTAGCAAAAATTGTGAAGATTAATCAGAAGGTATTTTGGAAACACATAGGCAGTAATAGAAAAGACAGTTTTTATTTGGATGGTTTGTATCGGGTGGATAAAGATGGTAAGAAGAAAGGAATTGTGACTGATCAACAGGAAATGGCAGATATGTTGGCTGACTTTTTTTCATCAGTTTATGCGACAGTGGATGATCTGCGTGATGAACCCTATCAGGCTGTTTCGAAATCTGAGCTCATTGGATTAAAAATGAACGAAATAACTTTTGAACCTACAGTTGTCTATAACAAATTAAAAAAATTGAATGTTAACAAATCATCAGGTCCAGATAATCTACATGGAAAGATTTTATTCGAATGTAAGGAGTCTGTTTGTAATTATTTGTCTGCTTTATATGGTTTATCATATCAATGGGGAGTCATACCTAGTATATGGAAGGAAAGTGTTGTAACAGCTATCTATAAAAAGGGTGATAAAAAAGATGCAAGAAATTATAGACCAGTGGCATTGACCAGTGTTATTTGTAAACTGATGGAATCGGTTATTAAGGATGATTTGATGTTGTATTTAACTGATAATGATTTGATTGACCCTAGACAATATGGTTTTGTAAAAGGTTAATCAACGGTAATGCAACTCTTGAAACTTCTGGATGATTGGACTAAGGCACTAGATGATGGCTACAGGATTGATGTTGTGTACACGGATTTTGAGAAGGCTTTTGATAGAGTGTCACATGGTATTTTAGTTTAAAAAATGAAAGAGTACAGATTGAATGATAGATTGATTACTTGGGTAAACAGTTATTTAAGTGGAAGAACATTCAGGGTGAGATTGAATGATAAAATGTCTAGATATTGTACAGTGTTAAATGGGGTTCCTCAAGGGAGTGTGCTGGGTCCTATATTATTTCTTTTATTTGTTAATGATGTGTTTAATTTGAATAAAGATGCAAAAGGTCCAGCAATGTATATGTATGCAGATGATGCAAAATTATACAGAATTGTTAGCTCAGATGATGATATTGATAGAATGGTATTACAAAATGGGTTAAATGACTTGACTAGTTGGTGTGCAAAGAGTAATGTAAAATTAAATGAAAAAAAATGTGTGGTAATGAAATATGGGTATAACATACCTGAGAATAGTTTTCAATATAAAATTGGTCATCATACATTGGATTATGTCGATAGTATTAAGGACTTAGGTGTAATATTTGATAATTCTTTAAAATTTGTTGATCATATTCATAACAATGCTAAAAAAGCTTATTCTTTGTTAGGTTTAATAATTAGAAATTTTAAAGGTGTTAGTGATCATATTTTTATAATGCTTTATAAATCATTAGTCAGATCTCAACTAGAATATACAGCTTGTGTTTGGTCTCCGTGGGCAGTACGGGAAACGGAGGTGATAGAAAGGGTCCAGAAAAGAGCAACAAAGTCGATCAAGGTCTGCAAACATATGAAATATGAAGATCGTCTAAAATTTTTGAGCTTGCCAACACTGAAATACAGACGCATCAGAGGGGATCTCATCATGATGTATAACTTGTTTAGAGCTAAAGATCAACGTGAACTCCCAGTAATGATGAAAGCTGGGGGACGAACCAGAGGACATGAAATGAAATTGACTGCTCTTCCATTCCATAAGAACTTGAGGAAACAATACTTTACCAATAGATCAATTTGTATCTGGAACAATCTGGGTGTCGATGTTGTGAATGCTGATAATGTGAATGATTTAAAAAAAAAGTTGGATACTTATTTTATGAATGCCAGATTTATGTACGATTGGAGGGCAAATGATACTTGATGTGACATTGGCTATTTGTGAGATTGGGATATATTCAATTTTTTTTATCAGTATGTTATTTTTTATTATTATCTTTTTTTTCATTTTACAAGGTTTAATACATTATTTGACTTATAAGAACATTAAATATTTTAAATTTATTCAGTATAGACTCATAGTTTTGAGAAGGCACAGGGACGTTTCGTCTTCGCCTTTGTTTAATAATAATAAGGATCTTCCTACGTTATCCTCCTACATGATCCCCACACATGATCCTCCTGCATGATTCCCCCACATGATCTTTCCACATGATTCTCCTACATGATCCTCCTACCTGATCTTTAAACATGTTCCGCCTACATGATCCTCTCACCAGATTCTATTAAATTATCCTCCGACTTAATCTTTTTACCTTAATCTTTAATGCATCGTTAAAAATATTCAATAGTTTAATTGTCAATAACTCTTTCAAAGCTGTAATGAGGAAAAATTGAGCATTGCGTGATCGTCGGTACATCTCATCAAAACATTCACTCCATGCATGCCACTGTCCCACTTTGAAACAGCAATCAATTTTAAGAAAAAAGTTTTTTCAAACATTTGTATGTTTATATTGAGCGGTGGTATTTTGCAAAATGTGATTTTATTAGATTATCAAAATGCATTCGTTTATAAAGAAAGATAATCAACTTCCATTAACGAAATATTTTCCGTATTGAAAAAAGTCTATGCGATATTTGATTAACCTTTAAAATTTTTCACAAAATGTTCGAAGAAACCAGTTTGTTTCAATCTCACAGGGCTTCCGTTCATTACATGCGGTGATTTTTTTGCATTAATTTGATTTGAAGTTAAAAACTTTATTTTCAAAGATTCCCTAACAAAGTAGGCTTAAACTATTTAGGAAATGCATGAAAAAATTGCTGTTGGTAAATTAGTTTTTCTTTTCTTTAGTGTATTTCTCTTAGAAAGAATTTATTAGCAAAGCAAATTTTTGTGCGACATTTTAATTTTGTGGCGGTGTAATTTTGTGTGCATGTGTAGTTCTTTGGAGGTGTTTGTTCGGGTGCGTTTTCTATGATCTTTGTTTCTTTGCAAATATTTATGAGTGTTTTTTCTGGAGTGTATTTGCGTGAATGATTATATTTTGATCCGAACAATATTATTTGCATTCATCTATGAAGCGCACGTAAAGATGTTTTGTATGGAATGAGTTGTGGGTATTGATCGCCTGTGATGAACAACAAACTCGTCCTACATTCATTGACCGAACATACATCAAAAAATATCGTACAATGACACCATTTTCACAGCAATTTATTTGATCTTTATTCTTTTTCTGTTTAAATAATAGTAAATAATAAATTCAATAGCTGTTTTAGAAGGAGTAACTCTTTATAACAATGTCTCACTAATAGCTTAATTCAGTGCGCAATGAGAAAATGAATTCATTGGTGGTACAATCTACTTGTCAACAAATTAAAAATATTATCACAAAATTTTCTTGCAAATAAAGTTCGGTATTCTATGAAATGTGCGCAAACAGGATTTAAAAAATTCTTATCTATTTATTTCCTTACAACTAGTTTAGTCTCCGGCAAAATGTTTACGTTTCAGACGAAACTTAAAAAGATTGTTAGTAGAACGCTTTTAAATTAATATGCAAAAAATAGGAAGCAGTTGTTTTAGAATATCTAACCATGTTAATATTTCCCGTTGAATCACTAGTTCTTATGTGCATTTGGTTTAGAATAATTTTTTAAAACTGGGACTGATGAAAAAAATTTAAAAAGAAGTATTATTTAAAAAAAATTCTATATTCAATTTGTTGTAAATGAGTAGAATTTCAGCGTTACCTCATTTATCATGTCACACTAGAATAATTTCGAAATGTGGTTTGTTCTTTTATTTCAAAAATAGAATTTGTAACCTGAGTAGTGAACACTTGCTGTTTGAATGTTATGAATGATCCTCTTTTTATTTTTAATAAAGTGATACGGGATTTCATCCAATAATTAGAGAGTTTTACAGTCTTTTAATAAAAATACTATTCCCGGGAGCCCCCGATGGCCCCATTAGATCTGCCAGGGGTCGTATATAAAATATGTTAAGGTTACAATCAACGTACATTCACTCGCATCCTCTGTATAACAATCAAGGTTGATTAATGGCAATAATAAGCAAAGTGAATAAAATTAGTTCCCGCGACAAATATTTTTTTGAAAACTTCTATATAACGATTTTGATCTATTTGAAAATAAATTTGAAATATAATATAGTTATAAATATGTATAGCAGTCAACCAGAAACACAGTTACAGATGGCAAACCAGGAGAAAATAACCAAGATCATAAGGAAAGCTACACATCACATGCCTACCTACAACACGCTGTACAGGGTAGGTCGACCCAAAACTTTTTTTAAGCTATCGACTATGAATAGCGATAAAAAGTTGCTCTAACATATATGGATCACATTTAGAATAAAATTAAAAAAAAATTTGTTTAACTTTGCCGCCAGGGCCTTGAAAAATAACTTAAATTTGCCATTGATATAAGCTCATAACAGTATTTCTGTTCAATGCCAATTATTTTATTAATATTAAAACCAAGATTAGCATTTTATTATTTTGTTGAATTGTTTTCAAATTATTTTTTTTGTGAAAAAAAAAAAATTTTTTTGTAAAAATTTTTTTTTCAAATACAATTTTTTTTGTAAAAAAAATTTCAATAATTGGAGTGATACAGTTACACAACATAATTTTCGGTAAATTTGATAATTAAAAGACACTGTTTTTTGCATATAATATATTTTTATTCTATTATAATATATATTTACTATTAAAACATTATCAATTTCAGTTAGTCTTTCCTGTTATCCAGTCCTTCTCCGAAGCAAAATATGGAATTTCTTTTCTTGATTCTATTTTTGCTCTTATATATCCATCACGTCTCAGAGCACCACAGACTGACGATGATGCTTCGGTTACTAACTTTACATGTCGTTCCACGCTTTGATTATGGCAAGGATATTTTTCTAGTGTCTATTTCCGAGGTACTTTAATTGCTGCTTCAATTTCGTCATTGCTTATATCTCGTAGCATAGGTGGCGAGGTTCTTGCAACGTCTTGCCAATTTAGAAGACAATAGAAGACAAAAGTATTCAGCAGCCTCAAAGTTAAGA